AACATTGTTGACAAAATATTTGCGTCCGCGTACGTGAAAACATGATTTTATGTTTATTCATAAATTGTATGTGAACTATTATTGAATTATAAAAACTTCACTGTGTTGCCCAAAAAATGCATTCAGAGGAAAAGAGAAAAAGAGTCACAGACACGATGAAGATTGCAAACTATTATTAGGTTGCTGTAGATAGATCTATTCTAAAAAAAAAAAAAAAAAGAAGGAACTTCTAATAGAACATGTTACAGAATACGTCACGTGTAGCATTAATTTAATTTATAAATCACATTTACTTCAATAGCCATTCGTGTGCTATTAGTGGCAGCATAATATCTTCTCAGCTGTATACCACCCGTTGCTGATACAGCATAATTTTTCTCGCTGTACATTATATTCGCGCGTATCATCACATTAGATCTATCATTGGCGATTTTTCTTCTAGATCTTTTTTTTTTTTTTTTTTTCTCTTTTTAATCCTAATCGTCACTTTCTTTCTATCTCTACTTTGTAACTCACGTTTTTATCGAGACTGCCGGTAAGAGGCAGGTGTTGTTCCAAAACAAATGATCTAGACCAGTCGAGATCTTTCGTTTTTGTTTGTTTTCCAAATGAAAAGAAAACGAGAAAGAAAATGATTTTTAACGTCTTGCTCTCATTTCACACACGCACACACACGTTTGCCACATTTCGTGGCGCTCATCGAAAGTACATTCGGTTTTCGAAATTTACACACCGAACTCGCGCGAAGATCGATGGAAAGAAAAATCACTCGCATTCGATTTTTATCACGAAGATTTTAATTCGTATTTTACTGTACAGTGAAGTGGAAGCAACCGAAAGAACTTTTATCTCGTAACTTTTTTTTCTTACACAGCATACACGCATTGTACCTTTTCCCGTTTTGTTTCTCTTTTCGCTCTTTTTTTTTTTTTGTTTTCTTTCTTTTTCCATAGAAGCAACAACCTGTTCTTCAATTTTTCTTCTTTTTTTTTCTTCTCGTGTTTTTCGAACACGCGAGCTAGCGTGTTTTGGTGTTGAGCCGTTGTGATTACAATGTTTCTAATATTGTCGGTTACATCTCGAGAGTGATCGTTCCTCTCG